ATGGACTGTTTTTTTTTTTAATACTGTAATTTTATAGTTTATCTTGATTTTTCTTGTTTTCAGGGTATAAGTAACATTACCTTCTTCCTTTTCTTAATAAAAGAAACTAAATTCTACAGCCGTAGTAAAGTTACTCTTGTGGCCCAGCTTGTTTCATCATTTTTCCTTTTATCCTACCACATATGTGTAATTTCCAGTTTTTATTTTCTACTCTAAACATACACATATGAATCCACAATTAATATATTATTAGTGTCTGTGTATTTATCTTTTTAGCATTTATAAGGGCTATGCTATAGCATATTGTAAGGCAACTTGCTTTTTTCATGAACTATGATGTTTTAAGACCCATATATGTTTGGATATATAATACAGAGCATTAAAAGAATATCCTTATTTCCTTTGCCTAGTCCTCCAAATTCAATTATACCAAGATGTAAAGTGAGATGATAGGGGCGCCCGGGTGGCTCAGTCAGTTGGGCGGCTGACCCTTGATTTCAGCTCAGGTCATGATCTCAGGGCCCTGATATGGAGCGCCCTGTCAGGCTCTGCTCAGCACAGAGTCTGCATGGGATTCTCTCTCTCTCCTTCTGCTCCCCCTCCCCCATCCCTTCTTGTGCTCTCTCTCTCCAAAAATAAAATAACATAACATAACATAAAATATAAAAAAGTAACATGAGAAACCACTTTTATAACACATGCCAAGAGATTATAAAATATACTCTGCCACTTTTAAACTAGTATTACAGACATGAGAAGCTAAAGAAATGAGTTTTAAAGAGCCAGTAGTGAAGGTTTCTTTAAAAAGTGCTGTCTGTATGTTATATCATGGGAGAGAGAAGGGAAAACTCCCATTGAACTTAAGCCAAGTGAAAGTAGAAAGCTTCTAAACAATTGTTTTTCCTATAGAATTAATGGTACAGGGAATAGTCTCCGACCCACATAAAATTTAAGATGAACAGAAGTGGTCTGTCTGGTAAAACTCCTGAAGACATAGCTGCACTGGTGATCCTCTCCATTTCCGAATCTCAGTGGCTAGAAGTGAACCCATGGGAAAAGGCTAGCTGTGGGGTGTCTTAAAAGGGCTCTCCCCGAAAAGTCAACTATGGGGAGTGAAATAACTCCAATGGAGAAATGGACTCAAAATCCAGGGCTGGTAGAGTTTTACCAAGGCAAATACACATGGATAAGGGAAATCTCCAAAAATATCATTCTCCCAAGATCTGTAAATGCCCTTTTCATGGTATTTTCCTTTTCAATTATGTTTTTATTTTCAAAATTGTATTCTTATATTATTTTTCTTATATTTGTATTTTTGTCTGCTTTTTGGTTATAGAAATGCCTATTTGGACCCGTCCACTATTCTTCTTGACTAGAGTAGAATTGATTAGAAGGCCTGTTTATTAATCTTTTCCAAAATTAGTATTATTTCATGGATCAGCTGTAAGTAAAATATCCTATTTCATTCACACTGCTTTTACTTTTATTATCTTACCTCCTAATATCTGGAGTTAACTTTTCCTAACTTTTGGGGAGATAGATAGATATCTCCAAGCTTATTTTTTTAAGGCTATGAATGTCACTCCAAATTTTGGTTAGGTTGCATCTCAAAGGTTTTACTATATGTTCTTACAATTATCATATAGTTCTTAGTATTATAAAGGCTATATTATCAAGTCATTTGGAAGTGCATTATTTCACAAGTTGAAGGGTAGAGGAGTAGATAAATGTTATTATTTTAAATATTATTTCTTTGTGGTTATAGAAAGTGATCTATAGGGTATTAATATTTGAAACATGTGAGAATTATTTAATGCACAATAAGTGGTTAATTTAAGTAAACATTCCAGAGGCATAGAAAAGGTTTTAAAATTCTTGAAACTCTCAGAACAATATTTCTTCCTTACATAAAAATAAAAATACATTCAATAAAGAAATTTAATAAAAATTAAAACATTTTACTTGTTTTAAACAAATCAGTTACGTTCTTGAAATTATTGCCTATTTAAATTTAACATATTCTACTTTTCACTCACAATTTCTAATGACATCACGCTCTTTTGTTAAGAATTAATACTTCATCTTGCTGATTGGTATATATTTTATAGGATTTCTTTCAAAGGATGATTTCAAGTGGTAAATTCTCTTGGTCTTTCCTATGTTTAAAAATTTCTTTACTTTACAATCATCATAATCACATGTAATCATAAATAATTTGGTATAGAGAACATTTGGTTGACAATTACTTTCTCTAAGCACTTTAGAGATATTACTGTGTTTATTCTGGCTTCTTATATTGCTGGTGAGAAGTCTGAAGTCTACTCTATTTTTTCTATTTTATTGTCATTTCTCTGTAAGCACTCTATCTTCTCTATAACTGGTTTATTTAATTTAACACGGTGCCCATTTTATAATTGTTTGTAATATATAATCCTGTTACTCAAATAATTTGAAAATAAGCCTTTGAGGAATGTGAGATTTAATCTCACATTATTTATTTATGAAATAATGTTAAAATTATTTATGAAAATAATTTCTTAATCAGATCATTTTTCTTCCCGATTTTCTACTTTTGGTCCTTCACAATGTTATTGGGTTTTAGTTGTTTCCTAATGTCATTGAAGGTCGAGTTTTGTTCGATTGTTACAGTTCTTTTTTATTCTTTTATGATTTCAAGAGTTTGTAATAGAGTAAAAATGGGCTTACTCTATCATCTTTACCAGAAGGCAAGGGTTTTTAAATGATAATATTTGTCTGAAAATAGTGTTATGAGTTGTCTCGAACTTCATCACTTAAAAATTACATATTGGAGCACTTGGGTGGCTAAGTCAGTTGAGCGTCTGCCTTCAGCTCAGGTCATGATCTCGGGGTCCTGGGATCGAGCCCCGCATCAGTCTCCCTGCTCGGCGGAGAGTCTGCTTCTCCCTCTCCCTCTCCCTCTGCCTCCCCCTCCTACTTGTGCTCTCTCTCTCTCAAATAAATATATAAAATCTTTAAAAAGAATTACACATCACAATAAATAATTTAATTTAAAAACATACTGATTACAAGAGAAATTTTCTGATAAAGATGTAACAAGGTCTACAAAATCTTTAAAACAAACCTTACCTCTGCAGTCTGGTTCAGGATACCATTTCCCATTTATGCAGACTGATTGCATGTATTTGACCTCCCACAAACATCTGTAATTTATTCTGGCACTATGATTATATTCCCTCATATATGGCTTCATCAGTACTCTTGTATGAAGCATTGGTCTTTCGCAACTCTTAAGTTGGTTTGTTGCTATAAAAAATTCATATATGATAAGAATATTGAGCAGAAACTAGCAATTATTTCAATAAAACATCTAAAATATTAATGGTACAATTAAATTACGTTTGATGCCTTCAAGCAATATCACATAAAGCTGTTCTTAATTTCATTGCATGGACTATGCTGTTGAAACAGGAAAAAGGAAACAAAAATCTGTATTCCATCTTTGAATGACAGAAAAATATGTCGAAGTCTTTTTGGGAAATGTGAGTGCAAGACGGATTAGTCTGGTCCAGGGTCTTGACTAGAGGACAGTCCTTATAAACTTCATTCAGCCTAATTTTTAAAGGCCATGAAAAGGCATACATATGTCATTGTTTTCCACTAAACTATGTTAAATAAATATTCTCAAAGCGTTTCAATAATAAAAAGAGGTGATGCATGAGTAAGTCTGTGGGAAGTACAGTCTTAGGAGAGAGAAATCTGGATGTCACTTGAGGTTCAATTACTCCCACATTTCAGAAGCTTAGTAAAGACCCTGACTTAATAAGGCAGAGTAAGCTCAAAGGAAGACCACCCTGATGACAACACTCAGAACAAGCCTTTACAATGGGCCACTTGCTTGTCTAGGTAGTTTTTATTGCCATAATTCTTCCCTATTGTCCAAAATATATAGATCATTAATGGAACCTTTCCTGAGGGTGTCAAAGGATGGGATAATGAGACATAGATTGCTCTGCTACTTCTCTCCATTTATGTGTTTTTCTCCGGTAATCCCTATTTTTACATTTACCCTGTGTGATGCTAGTGATTGGATGTCTGTATTCCCCTTATATAAGAATTGTTGACCATGAACATATCTAATTTACACCTTCTTATAACAGAGTCCAGGTTCTTGGGGTTGGAGAACATTCCCTGCTGGTCATCATGAGTGGACAGTGACCAGGTATCTGCAACAGCTACAGTTTTCATCCCCTGGAATGGGGACGCTGGTTGATAATCCAAAAATCTAGATGATGAAGGAAGAGAGTGGTCCTGGGTTTTCTACTTTAGAATCTTGAAGAATAGCAACAGGGTCTGCTAGTCTTTAAAGCTTAAAATTAAAGGCTTGAATATATTGGGATTGCCGGACATCGGACAAAGGAGAACAGTAGCTGAGGACATCAGGAGAAAACTTGCACACACTTATGCATTATGTCTGAAAGCCCAAGGACTGCTAGAATGCGGGGTGAAAGAGCAGATCGCACAGGCTGGTGGACTGAGAGAAAAACCTGAAATGGATTTTACTACGTCTGTGGAAGAATCATGTAGACAATCATGTAGACAAGAAAGTCTAGAAGAGAGTTAAAAGAATTAGAGGCACAGGAAGAGCAGGGATCAGATCTAGTTCCTAGATCATGTATCCAACTCTTTCTCTAAGAGGAGACTCCAAACACCTCAGAACTTAATGGGACTTAGGCTATTGTTTTGGTTGTTATTTCTGGACAAGGCAGAGGTATTTTTTTTTTTTACTTAGTTCGTATTTTATTGGGACTGACTTGACTGATTTTCACCATTTGAGACGTAATTACAACAGTACTGAATGTCAAGAGCAAAAGGAGCCACCCACAAATGAGTAAACTGGAAAGGTTCATTAGCTTTGGATTGGAATTGAGGGGAAAAAGCTGTTCAGAGCTGAAGGAAGGTCCTTAAATCAAGACTACTAGGTCAGTTTATGGAAATAAAAGTCCCGATTTGTACAAATGCCCACTAGGCAGGAGAAACGGGCAGGACAGAAGACGTGGGCTGTGGGGACAGCTCATCTGCACCAGGGACGGCTGGGCTGGGTCCCGGAGGTAGGAGGCTGAAGTCTAGAGGTAGGTTAACACATTCACCCAAAACCCTTGTTTCCCAGTCCGTCTCGAGGATGCAGCAGTTTTCCTCATACAAGGAGAGGTATTTTTATGAGCTAAAGCAATAAAATAAAAGAGATTAAACTGTAATTATTTATAAAAATAAAATATCCAAATTAATTATTAGAACTAATATGGCAATCCAGCAAGAATTGGACCAATATACAAAATTAAATTACAATCTTGCATGTAGAAAGTATAACTCTCCATATATATAAATTAGTAGAAAATCTCATTTGTTTTATCAATAGAATCCCAAAGGACTTAGGGAAAAAATTTATTTAGAAATAATTTTCATGAGGTTTGATATAAGACCTGAATGAATAGATTAAAGCATTATATTCATGAGAGGAAGAATCGATAATAAATAAAATTGATTACAGTTAGCTGAATTTATAAATTTCATACAACCCCAAACAAAATTAAACCAGAATTATCAGAGAACTTGTTTTTGAAATACAGATGGATTGGGACATTTTAAAGAATAGCCAAGATGATTCTAATAATTAAGTGATTAAGGTTGTTATAATAATAATGACTTCCATATTAGCATAAGAATAGACAAACAGGTTAAGGGAGCAGAAGAGATAATCTAGAAATAGATATATTTATAAATAGGGTACTAGTAAATGGCATATGGGGAAATAAATATTAGTAGAAAATAGAACAGACAATTCACTTAGTATTGATATAGTTTTCCATATAGAGACAAACGAAAGCACTCTGATATAATGTAAATATATCAGATAGATTAAAGAAATAAATCTTAGTAATGAGATCATAATGCTTAGAAAAAAAGGGAGTATCTTTATGCCCTAAAAAAGTAAGGGATTCTTCAACAAGATACATATACATATACAATTGAAGAAAGGAAGATTGATAAATGAGTTTAAACAAAACCTTCCAATGAAAAAGACATCATAGAAACATTACAATAAAACAAAAATACTTTAGATCATTTACAATATAATTATGAGAATATTCAGTTCAGAACTCAAATAAATCTTAAATCAGTAAGAAAGTACAAAATAAAAGAAAAACGCTCATTGCACAGAAGAGAAAATCCTAGCCTCCTACAGATACTTGTACTGATGCTCAATATTACTATTATTCAGAAAAATAAAATTAAATGTGAGATAATGATTTTGACCCATCGACCTGGAAACAATTCAAAAATACTAAAATATCAAGTGGTGACAAAGAGGAGTAAGGTCTCTGTATATATTTGGCAGTACCTTGTAAAGTCAAAAGTATCTACAACCCGAATCCATTAGCTCCACTTGTACGTGTATACTTAAGGAAATATTGAAGCATGTCTTTTATACCAGGACAAAAATAAATAATTTCCATTTCCAGTAGGGTAATGAAGTAATAAAACAAGGTACATTCTTAAGGTAGATGAAGACACAGTAAAATTACAATGTTGAAGGAAAGAGCATTTTGCAAGTAGACAGTAATTGTGTAAGTTTAGGAAAAAAACACAAAAATCTCATCCTACAGGTTTTAAAAAATAATATATATATTACTTATATAATTTATAAATAAGTACAAATTCTACTCAATTGGGATTTCCTTCGGGAGGACGATAGGATAATGGATACTTCCCTTTTTCTTCAATGATTTTATTTAAAGGATTTATTCTATTACCAAGTATTTGAAGCAAATAATGTCAAAAATGTAAATTCTGAATAGTGGAACATGAATTTTTCTCTTTGTTTTTTCCCCATTTTTTTCAACTTTAAGCAAAAATTGAATCAAAGTACCTCAGCTATGTCTTCTCATCTAGAACCCCTCTGGGTAGTGCAATTGCTGGATCGTATGGTGGCTCTATTTTCAACTGTTTGAGGAACCTGCATACTGTTTTCCAGAGTGGCTGCACCAGCTTGCATTCCCACCAACAGTGTAGGAGGGTTCCCGTTCTCCGCATCCCCGCCAACATCTGTCATTTCCTGACTTGTTAATTTTAGCCATTCTGACTGGTGTGAGGTGGTATCTCATTGAGGTTTTGATTTGGATTTCCCTGATGCCGAGCGATGTTGAGCCCTTTTTCATGTGTCTGTTGGCCATTTGGATGTCTTCTTTGGAAAAATGTCTGTTCATGTCTTCTGCCCATTTCTTGATTGGATCATTTGTTCTTTGGGTGTTGAGTTTGATAAGTTGTTTATAGATTTTGGATACTAGCCCTTTATCTGATATGTCATTTGCAAATATTTTCTCCCATTCTGTCGGTTGTCTTTTGGTTTTGTGGACTGTTTCTTTTGCTATGCAAAAGCTTTTTATCTTGAGGAAATCCCAATAGTTCATTTTTGTCCTTGCTTCCCTTGCCTTTGGCGATGTTTCTAGGAAGAAGTTGCTGCGGCTGAGGTCGAAGAGGTTGCTGCCTATGTTCTCCTTTAGGATTTTGATGGACTCCTGTCTCACATTAAGGTCTTTCAACCATTTTGAGTCTATTTTTGTGTGTGGTGTAAGGAAATGGTCCAGTTTCATTCTTCTGCATGTGGCTGTCCAATTTTCCCAACACCATTTGTTGAAGAGACTGTCTTTTTTCCATTGGACATTCTTTCCTGCTTTGTCAAAGATTAGACCATCTGACCATAGAGTTGAGGGCCTATTTCTGTCTTGATGATTATAGCTTTGTAATAGAGCTTGAAGTCTGGAATTGTGATGCCACCAGCTTTGCTTTTCTTTTTCAACATTCCTCTGGCTATATGGGGTCTTTTCTGGTTCCATACAAATTTTAGAATTATTTGTTCCATTTCTTTGAAAAAAGTAGATGGTATTTTTATAGGGATTGCTTTAAATGTGTAGATTGCTCTAGGTAGCATTGACATCTTCACAATATTTGTTCTTCCAATCCATGAGCATGGGACGTTTTTCCATTTCTTTGTGTCTTCCTCACTGTTGGTGGGAATGCAAGCTGGTGCAGCCACTCTGGAAAACAGTATGGAGGTTCCTCAAAAATTCAAAATAGAGCTACCATATGACCCAGCAATTGCACTACTGGGTATTTACCCCAAAGATACAAATGTAGGGATCCAAAGGGGTATGTGTACCCCGATGTTTATAGCAGCAATGTCCACAATAGCCAAACCGTGGAAAGAGCCAAGATGTCCACCGACAGATAAATGGATAAAGAAGATGTGGTAGATATATACAATGGAATATTATGCAGCCATCAAAAGGAATGAGATCTTGCCATTTGCAACGACATCGATGGAACTGGAGGGTATTATGCTGAGTGAAGTAAGTCAATCAGAGAAAGACATGTATAATATGATCTCACTGATATGAGGAATTCTTAATCTCAGGAAACAAACTGAGGGTTGCTGGAGTGGTGGGGGGTGGGAGGGAGGGGGTGGCTGGATGATAGACATTGGGGAGGGTATGTGCTATGGTGAGCACTGTGAATTGTGTAAGACTGTTGAATCACAGACCTGTACCTCTGAAACAATACATTATATGTTAAAAAAAGAAGAAGAAGAAGAAGAAGAAGAAGAAGAAGAAGAAGAAGAAGAAGAAGAAGATAGCAGGAAGGGAAGAATGAAGGGGGGAAATCAGAGGGGAAGACGAACCATGAGAGACTATGGACTCTGAGAAACAAAGTGAGAGTTCTAGAGGGGAGGGGCGTGGGGGGATGGGTTAGCCTGGTGATGGGTATTAAAGAGGGCACGTACTGAATGGCGCACTGGGTGTTATATACAAACAATGAATCATGGAACCCTACATCAAAAACTAATGATGTAATGTATGGTGATTAACGTAACATAATAAAAGAAAAAAAAAAGCAGCTGTACCATTATACATCCCCACCAGAAATTTATGAGGTTTCTACTAGGTATCCTAGTGGGCGGGAAGTGATATCTCACTGTGGTTTTGATTTGTATTTTCCTAATGACTAATAATGTTAAGAATCTTTTTATGTGTTTGTTATAATTTTTATTATGTCTTCTTTGGAGAAATACATATTCAAATCCTTAAAAAAATGGAGAAAGATATTTCAGGAAGAAAGCAAAGGCACAAATGAGGAATAGCATGGAGATTTAAAAGAACATGGCTTATCCAGAAGCTAAGGAAAATCAGTTTTGCATGGTGAAGATGAGACGCAACAGTAAATACCTAGAAAAAAGCAATTTGATATTATTCTGAAGCAGAAGTCTCAAACTCTCTTGGTTCACAGAGCCCTTAGCATCTCAGTAATTTTGCACAGTGTACATAGGTCAAAGAAAATCTTTAACAATTCATTTTTTAAATAATTAGGAGCAAAGAATTTAACATCTTATATCCTAATTATTTAATACCTTATGGGCACCAGCATGTGCTGGTCTAAATATATTTATTGATTTAAAAAATTATAAACAATCAAATACAAAAGTAAGAAATGTATTCTCACCAACACACTTAGGAAGTTCAGTCCATGTTCCATCAGTACAGGTAATTACATTATTTCCAATCATTGTATATGTATCTCTGCAATTCAGCTCCACAGAAACACCATGTTGAACAGGAAGAATAGAGAACTGGGCATAGCCATTGTTGAGGTGAGGTATGGAGCCACATGCTTTAACTTGTCCTAAGAAAATGTAATAAAAGATCTTGCTTTTAAAATATTTTAAATCTTTTTATATATGTATTTATATATAAGTGCAAAGTTTAAACTGTTCTGTTTAAATATTAACATCTATTTACCAACACAAGTGGGCAAATCTGTCCATTCTCCATCGATGCACTGTATTTTCTTTGGCCCTGTCATTAGAAAATGGGGAGGGCACTCATATTCCACCATCTCACCGTGTCCATATTCTTCTTTCCTTCTCTGTTTTATTTTACCGTTGGGGAGTTGAGGAGGTTGACTACATGACTGTACTTTCCCTATCATAAAAAAAAAATATTTAAATAATGCTTAAAGAGTCTAATGAATCTGGCAAAATGTGGAATCACTGTTTTGGTTGACTTAGAACTAAATTACCTTTATGCTAAATTCCTATTTTTTTTCAGGTTTGCTTTTTACCATGTACATAGTGTATTAAGTATTCTTTTTCTCAAATATTGACTTTTTATTATAAACAATTCTGAACAAATTAAAGAAAAATGAACACATATACTGATCACCTAGATATATATTAATGTTACCTTTTGCCCAATTTAATTTTTTTAGCGAAGTAATTTATTTATTTAAGATTTTACTTATTTGAGAGAGAGAGAGAGAGCACAGGGTGAGAGAGAGAGAGAGAGGGCACAAGAGGGGGAGGGGCAGAGGGAGAAGCAGACTCTCCATTGAGCAGGGAGTCTGATGCCAGGCTTGATCCCAGGACCCTGGGATCATGACCTGAATGGAGACACTTAACCGACTGAGCCACCCAGGTATCCCAAAGTAATTTAAAGTAAATGATAGACATAGTAAAATTTTTCTTCTAAATTCTTCAGAAGGCCTATCTAAGAAATAAGGACATTGACCTGCATATACAAAACACCTTGTTGCATTTCTTTAAATTAACAATAATTTTTAGTGCCATCTTACATTTTTTTCTATATGTAACTATTCTGATTGTCCCAACCCCCAGTATTTTGC